TAGATATATGTATAAACGTGTTCTCTGCGTAAAACTGGGAACGAAGAGTCCAGGGACGCAGAGACACAGAACACAGGCTGACATGTGCCTGCACCATACACTGTGGCCATGAGCTGGGTATCGGCGTAGACAGCAGCCGGTGCAAACGTCTGCTTAACGGGAGTCGCGCCCAGAGGGCTCGGGACGCACAACACCAGGGATTCAGTTTCTAATCTTAGTGCCAGCAGGTAACTCTAGCTGTAACCTATTGTGTTTCCCGGTGTCTAAGTCTAAACCACCTCGAGCAGGGAGCTGTGTCTGGCTTTTGTAGGCCTCTAGAAAAGAAGAATGTCTAGCCCGAGAGGCCGTACAGAATAAAATGCTATAAGAGATTTTTTTCATTACAATGGCAGCACATATTATTACTCTGACGCTTCTCCTGTGCCCCCTAAGGTTCCCGAGCCTCGGGGGCAGTGGGTGATGGGTGGGGGTCTACCTGGAAGCGGCCGAGGAGGGCGGATGAAAGGTTGGTGAGAACTCATAGCCACTCTGCACTGAGCTCAGTGTCAACTGAGCTTTAAGGAGTGCTCTTCACAAATGTCAACTCACCATGGGCCCAATAACACACCCGTGAGAAGGTGGAGGAGCAGGCATCAGAGCTAGGGAGCTTAGAAAGAAAGGAAAGGGGCAGCTCTCATGGAAGCAGAGCCCCACCGCCTGTCTCTCATCAACCTAACAACAGGAAGGGACAGGGTGGCTGGCTGTGGGGTGGGGGTCTGGCTCCTTCCACTCTCACGCTGACAGGCTCCCTGGGAATTATTTCCTAGTTAGTGCATGGATGAATTTTCCCCTCCAGTAAGATTCCTGGGCTGGGGTTGACTGCCGCATTCACTCTGTCACTCAGCAAACGCATGTCACTGGCCCGCTCGGTGCAGGCCCGGCTCAGGGGCCAGAGCCCCAGCAGAAAACCCGGCAGACAGTTCCACGTTGGTGGCCAACACCATGGACTGTCGGGCCAGCTGGGCTGCACCCTGGCTTTTCCATGGCCCGCTCTATGGATTCTGGCAGTTATTTAACCTCGGGAACTTGGCTTTCTCACCTGTAAAAACGGGGATAAGAAGGGTACCTTCCTCACTGGGGGAACTGTGAGGATTAAATGAATTGTGCATGTAAAGAGCTTGGAGCAGCGCCTGGTGCAGAACAAGTGCTAGGCACATGTTTGCTTGTTACTATTTCTACCCTAATAGAAATAGGCAGAGGGTAGATAAGGTACAAAAGCAAAATATATAATTTGTTAAATGGTGATATGTGCCGAGGAGACACTAATGCAGGGAGGGGGACACGATGAGTGGGTACCTGGCAGGGCAAGAAATTGTCATTCTACATAAAGAATGTCTTCCCTGAGAAAGTGACATTGGAGAAGAGTCTGGAGGGGAGGGAGAGAGGGAGCCATGCAGTGTCTAGAGGGAGAGCATTCCAGGCAGAGCGCACAGCAAGTGTAAAAGCCCTGAGGAAGAGTGAGGAGGCCAGAGGGGTTGGAGGGGAGGAGAGAGGGGGAGAGAAGGAAGAATGGGGGTCGGAGAGCGACTGTACGGCAAGCTCACCTACCAAGCAGGACTTCTTGCTAACGCATGGCTCTGGCTCCCCTCCACCTGCCACCTGCGCCGCCCAGCCGCAGAGCCCGGGCTGCGCCGCAGACTGACCTGCTCCTGGTGCTGACACCGGATCCTCAGCAGCTGGTCGTGGTGCTCCTCCTGCAGGCGTGCCGCCTCCGCCTCAAATTGCAGCTGCAGCCGCTCCTCCAGCTCCTGCAGCTGGGCCTGCTGCTGCCAGCCCAGCCTCCTCACCTCGTCCTCGAACCGCCTCTCCAGCTCCTCCTTCTCCTTCTGTAGCTTCTCACACTTTGCCGTATGGAAGGCTGGGCGGAAAGCACAAGATCGTTCTTAAAAACTTGGATAAGAGGCTCAGGAAAGGACTCAACGTGCACGCTCAGATCAAGGCTGCCGTAGCAAACAGGGTGAGACCCTCTGACTTCTGGAGGCCCGGCCAGTTTGCAATGTGCTTTCCTTTCCACCCCATTTGGTCCTTGCAGCAGACCCTGGATACTGAGGTGGAGCCAGAGCCTCAGAGAGACTCGCCCAAGGTCATCAGTGTGCAGAGAAAGATCTGGGAAGGCCAGTCAGGGCTTTCTGATTGCAAGGCCCTTAGATCTGCTTCTCAGAGGGTCCATGGACCACAGGCATCAAAAATAGTGGGTGTTTATTAAAAATGTAAAACTCCTAAGTGCCCCCTGGGTAAATCGGAGCCCCTGGGGCAGGAACTCAGGACCTCAAGTGTTAGCGAGTCCCTGAGTGGCTCGGGAGCTTCGTGCTACGCAAGCTGGAGGTGGGGGTGGGTCCGGCTCCTACAGCTGAAATGCCCCCTAGTTGAAATGCCACACTGGACAATCTCAGAGAAGGTGCGGGAGTTTCCTTTCAGGTACCCCAAAGCTATACTACTCACTATCCCTTCTGCAGAGGCATTCCGTCCCAATCATGGAGTCAGGGTTTGGGCCGGAGGCGATGACAGCAGCCACCAGCACTCCTGCCTGAGCTCCTCCTCGGCCTATCAGTGCGTCCCCTGGGCAAGAGCCGAGCGCCTTCCCGCTAAAGCTCTCTCCCTGAACTGCGAGCCTGCTTCCAAGACCTTGACAGTGTGCTATGTCTAGGCCGCGGGGAGCTGATTACACACACACACACACACACACACACACACACACACACACACACACACACACGCCGGGGTGCACATATCCGTCATTTACATTCCACAAAGATCGAGCCCTATCATGCTCTCTGCTCTGTGCCACAAGCTGGGAGACACTGGCGTTTACTTGAAAATAGCACAAGCAGGTACAGGCGCCGATTAACTGCAATCCACACCCTAGGGGCGGTTAGCTATGAGCAGGAATAGACAGCCAAGAACGTTAAATAGCGTTTGAAACACCCTAATCGGAAGTCCCACCCTACAGAGACAGCTAATTCAAGGGCTTCTTTGCCACCTTTGGCTTGGAAAGAGTTTAATTAGGGTGAGGGATGTTAACTTTGTTCCCTGGTGAGCTGAGTGGTAGGTTGGCTGGCTGTGGTACGGACGCCCGCCCCGTGCGAAGGGCGTGTGCACATCCGGCCAGCCCGGCAGCCTCATACCGTCCCCATGGCCTTCCTGGCCAAAGCTTTCATCAGCCCAGTGTCCTGTGTGCCACCATTGAACGGAGGGCTCTGATCTGCCAGTGCCATCAGGGTGGCGTGGCAGGAGCTGTCCGCCCCTGGAGGTGCCAATAAGGAGATGCACTGTCCCTAGAGAGTTTAAAAATGAAAACCAAACCTCTGCTTTCTATTACCGCCTTGCACCAACAAATCTAAGCAATGCTGGCGAACAAACTCTCCTCCTCAAAAAAGACTTTGATTGGCCTACGTTCTAAACAATTGCTACCATCACTGTGGAGGGTTTCGAATTGTTGAGGGCTTTATTTATTTATATTTTTAAAATCACAAACACAGAAAAAAGTTGGAAGTATGGTACAAGGGCATTATTGAACAAATGACTTTTTCCCCATGAACCATTTGAGAGGAAAACATGGACCTGCTGTCCTTGCTGCATATTCCCTACCGTGAGGACACTCCCCGACCCCACCGCAATGCTGTCACCAAAGTCAGGAAATAAGCACGGATGCAATAATGCCGTCCGATGCTCAGGCCCATTTGAGTTTTTCCCGTTGTTCCAATGATGACCTTTCTAGAAAAAGCATCCAGTTCCAAATCACATGTTGCACTGAAGAAGTCCCTCAGTTTTTCCCTGACTTTTGGGGACTTGGACACTTTGTTTTTGTTTTTTTGTCATTTAGACTAGTAAGAAGTTGACACTTGTAAAGATCAGGAATTTTGTAGACCGTCTCTCAGTTCGGTGAGTCTGATGATTCCGTTCACTAGATTCGGGTCATGCATGTTTGGCGGGAATGTCACAGAAGTGGCACTGTGTTCTTCTCAAGTCAGTAATAATGCATTTGAATAATGTCTTTAAAAAGGAAACCTCTTTGTAAACTGTTTACGTAGTGAGCCAGGAAAATAACATGTGCTACTGATTATTATGTGGTGCAACTGAAGGTAATATTGTGGTATAGAGGAAAGGGTGTTAAAATGGCCCATTTTGGGTATCAAACACATTAAGTATGCACCTCAATATATATCCTCAATATATATATATTATCATCAGATCTGCTGTGTGTAAATCTTTAAAAAACAAAAGCTGGAAGACACCGAGCTTCTGACCACAGGTAGGAAGATGGCCTTTTGCTTGCTAATAAATATTAGTATGAAAGGCAGGTTTGGTCAGAGGCTTTGTGGTACCTGGCAGGGAGGGGACAGGGGTGGAGCCCCAGAGGCCTCCCCTTGCTCTGGTCACTGGGGACTACAGTCCCCACAAAAGGAACTTAATTAATGGTGACTGATGGGTGACATGGCTCAGATCTGGAGGCAACAGTGAGGAAATAAATGTCTGTGCCCAACAGTTCTGAGCCCCTGGCCTTACCGAAGCTTCAGCTTTCCCCCAAAGAGCTCCTGCCAACTGAAAACGTTATCAGGGATTCCACGAGGGACTTGAGCTCGTGAGAAAAGCTCTCAGGATCCACAGGCAGGGTAAGAAGAGGTGCATATGTAAAGACAGGGTTACCCTGGGATGACTAGATTTTAACAGAATAGAACAAAGACCATGGAATGCCAATTACAGAACAGTGATGGATGGGTCGAGACAAAGTCAAATTAAAGCAAGTAGAGAATGAAGAATTTTTTCTACGTTGGGAAAAAGCACAGAGCTGTTCAACAGAGGAAAACATGGGCCCCACCATGCCCCGCTGGGGCCACCCTGGTAGCCAGCCCGAGTGTGGGGGTGGGGAGGCCTGTCTGCAGCTGCAGCGTGCTCTCATTTCCGTAACTCTCAGTGATCTAATGTCATAGCGGCCTTTGCTCCACGTGTCACGTGATGGGAGAGAATAAAGCAGTGATGTCAATATGTTGCTTGTGTTCAGAACAGGTCTACAGGGAAGTTCACAGAGAGGAGACGCGCATGGCCAAGGACCACGTGAAAAGATGGGCAGCACCATTCATTCTTACAGAGGAAATAATTTTTCCTCTATAAGACTGAGAAAGATGAGATATTCTGATAATACAGGAAGACAAGGAGGCAACTGGCATCTGATGGACTGTTGGTGGGAATATAATTGATACAGCTGTTCTGAAGGGCAAAGATATCTTTCAAAATGTAAATGACAGAGATGGCACCTAAAGAATGCAGTTTTGTTTTTGGGGGCGATGAAAATATTCTAAAGAATATTGTAGTGACAGTCACACAACTCTGTGAATATACTGAAAAACCACTGAATCGTACACTTTAAATGGGTGGATTGTATGGTATGGCAATTATGTCTCAATATAGTTTTTTACCAGAAAAGGGAAGAAGATTTTTAAAAAATAATGTAACAGGGAAGAGATCACAGAGGATAAAGATAGATGTTTTTATAGAAGGAAAGTTGATATTCTGTTGTTAAAACCCTATATAATAATGGTAAAAACAAATGCTGGCAAAATAAAACACAAATGAAAACCCCACCACTGCACTGTTTTAGATTTACACACACATAGATGTATACACATACGGATGTACAGTCATGCATCACTTAATCATAGGGACATGCTGTGAGAAATGAGTCATTAGGCAATTTTGTCATTGTGCAAATATCATAGAGTGCACTTACACAAACCTAGGGGGGACAGCCCACTGCACACCTAGGCTGTACGGTGTAGCCTACTGCTCCTAGGCTACAAACCTGCACAGCATGTGACTGCAGTGGATACTGTCGGCCATTGCAACACAATGGCAAAAGAAGAGGTATAGTAAAATTACGGCATGAAAGATACAAAAAAAGGTACACCTGTATAGGGCCCTTACCATGAAGGGAGCTTCCAGGACTGGAAGGTGCTCTGGGTGAGTGAGTGAGTGGTGAGTGGATGTGAAGGCCTAGGACATTACTGCACGCTACTGGAGACCCTATAAACACTGCACACTTAGACTACACTAAACTTATAACAAATTTTTTTCTTGCTTCCATAAGAAATTAATCTTTGCTTACTGTAACTTACCTTTATAAACTTTTTGACTCTTTAATAACACTTAGCTTAAAACACAAACACACTGTATAGCTGTCCAAAAATATTTTTTCTTTGTATTCTTATTCTATAAACTTCTTTCTATTTAAAAAAATTTTTGGTATTCCTTTCTTTTAAAACTTTTTTTTTATTAAAAACTAAGACAAGCACACACATTAGCCTAGGCCTACGTAGGGTCAGGATCATCAATATCACTCTCTGCCACCTCCACATCCCGTCCCACTGGAAGGTTGTCAGGGGCAATAACAGGCATGGAGCTGTCTTCTCCTATGATAGCAATGCCACCTTCTGGATACCTCCCGAAGGACCTGCCTGAGGCTGTTATACAGTTAGCTTGTGTTGCATAACAAACAGAAGGAGTACAGTAAACAATAAAAAGCATAGTATCGTAAATATATAAATCAGTAACATAGTCATTTATTATCATTATCAAGTATTATGTACTGTATATAATTGTTTGAGCTATACTTTAATATGACTGGCGGGACAATAGGTTTGTTTATACCAGCATCACCACAAACAGGTGGGTGAGGCATTGCACTATGAAGTTATGATGTCACTAAGCAAGAGAAATTTTTCAGCCCCATTAAAATCTTATAGGACCATATTCATAGATGAGGTCTATGATTGACTAAAACTTCATTATGCAGTGTATGACTGTTTGTAGAACCTAAGAATAATTCCAACAGTTTCTAAACTAGAGATACATTGAGCACAT